GCAGAGTTCACTTGTGTACCCTTTGGGTCTTTCCTGAGGCAACGTGCCCTCTTGAGGTTAGTGCTCATGGTCCTTCCATGAGGGAAAGGCGTGAGCCTGAGCTGCCACACACCCTTGCCAGCTCTACCCAGGTATGGTTGGCTGGTAGTGTTGCACCCACACTGTGTGTCCTGGGCCTGTTTCCTCTCTTTCCTGAGGAGGACTGTCTTCTACAGCTGCCTGGGCAGCCCTTTGCTCTTCTGAGAGGTTGCTTTGCTTTTGATTTCTCAGCAGGTGTGTGCATCAGTGTCCCTGCCAGGGTCTCTGCTCCGCAGCTGCCCTCAGCTGTCCTGCAGTGCTGGGTCTGTGCGGCCTCCTGCTCACTGCTGTGGCTGTGTCTTCCTCGAGCCCCTTAATGTGTCTGGTGCATCAACTTTTTTACATCTGCATTCTTGACTCCATCACCCTGGCTGTGTGCTGCCTTCTTACCCATCCGTCCATCACTGGTGCCTGGTGAGCGCTTGCCCTCTGTTCAGGAGGAGCATGGCTCACACTATGCACAGAACACCCTTGTTGCGTTCTGGAGCCAGGGCTGTGGCAGCCTCAAGAGTGAGTTGGGAACGTGTACTCTTTCTCTTTTCTCTGAAAGAGTTTGTGCTAGGAGTGGTATTATTTCTTCTCTGAGTTCTTGGTAAGGTCCACCTAAAGACCAGGCAATTTCTTGGTATGAAAGTATTTAATCAGAGACTTAGAGTTTTTGTTCCACTCTTCCCTGGTGTTGGGTGGCACAGTTCACGGGTGCCTCCTGCTGGGAGATGCCTGTGCCCATGCAGAAGGGCGTGGAGGTATGGTGCCTGGTGCTGGGTGCTGCGCTTGCACACAGCACCTCCTGAACGCCCTTCCTTGTGCTGGTCTTGTTGCCCTGGCTGTGTCTGAAGCACTAGGGGCAAACAGCTAAATTGGAGGAACAGCACTCCTTAACTGCCGGGCTGGGAAAGGCAGAGGTGGAGCAGTCAGCAGGAGGCAGGGCCAGGGAGACCTACTGCTGGCACGGCCCCAGGCAGCACCCCACCTCATCTAGCCAGGAGCTTCTCAGAACCCCAGTGCTTTGAGGGCAGCCCTGCAGCTGTGCTGTTTGCCAGCAACTGGCCTGTGGACACGCCCAAAGAACTCCAGTGACTGTGCCTGCTCCTCTGAAACGGCAGTGTGCCAGTGCCTTCGTTCGGCCTCCCACCCAGCCGCAGAGCAGCTGGCCCTGAGGGAGGCCACAGCCTGTGACTCCATGTGGGCTGAAGAGGCCCAGGTTTCAGCTGGCTGCAGCTGTGCAGAACTGGTATGCCTTTACTGTGCACCCACCCAGCCCAGCCTGGAGCAAGGGGTCCCTCCTGGCACTGACCGCAGCCACCTCAGAGCCACCTTTGCCTCAGGGGACAAGCTTCCCCTCTCAGAATGATTGCCAGCTCTTTTAGGGGGCACATTTGTCACTGTGAGTGGCCTCCGCCCTCACCATCAGGACCCAGCTGCTCCTTCCTGACCTTGCTCCAAAGCTCCACTTTCTACTAGGTGAACGTGCATTCTGTGACCTCAGAGCCTTAGGTAGACACCTGGCTCATGTGGCACATTATGGGAGACTGTAGCCTGAGTGTATGTGTGAGGTGTGCCCGGCTTCCTCCTCTGGAGTGGACACTGTGCCCACTCTGTAGTGGTGCGCTGAGCCTTACCCAAGGTCAGCCAACTGGTAGAGGAGGTGGAATTGGAGCTGCTGGGTCCTTACCTTGTGAATGACACTCCTGCCAGCCCCTCTGTGAGGGCGCAGTCAGGTGGTCAGCCTGGGCTCCTTACAGCCAGGCTGAGGGTCCAAGGTGAGAGCAGAAGGCAAAACTGCAGCCTTGCAGCATCCCGTGGGCACAGGGAAGGAAGGCATGGCATCCAGTCACAGGGAGCTGGGCACTCGGTGGGTGTTGATCACCTTCAGTACCCAGCCACAGTCAGGCTTCAGCTGTGGGTCCTCTGCACTCCAGTACCCGTGTGGCTCTGCACTGTGGCCTGGGCCAGGAGTAGTTGATGGCCCCCCAAAGAGGTTCACGTTTCCTGGCATATGAAGTGAGATTGTAGCCAGTTTGAGTATTTTGAGGATTTAATCTGGAAGTGATTTCTGAAGGCAACCTCTTTTTTCCCCCAATAGGATAAAGATAAAGTTTCTCTGACCAAGACCCCAAAGCTGGACCGCAGTGATGGAGGAAAGGAGGTGAGAGAGCGAGCCACCAAGCGGAAGCTGCCCTTCACTGTGGGGGCCAATGGAGAACAGAAGGACTCGGACACAGGTACCACACTGGGCCCCTCCTCCCAGCCCCGCCCCTCCTGGCTCCATGCCGCACCGGCCTATCCAGGCACTGCCTCTTCTTCCCTGCATCGGGCTGATGTGGAGCTGTAGGAAAGCCTTGCCCCAGGCTCTTCTGTGGGGCTGCAGCTGCCCTGCTCCGGGTGGACTCCTGGAGGGCCACACACAGCAGGGATGTGGTTTCCCCACATAGATTACGCTCTGTGGCTTGTAGTGAAAGCCAGAGGGAACTCTGAAAGTGCCTTGTGGTCTTCCTAAGCGTAGGTGGGTCTGAGGGTGTCGAGCAGGAGCGTGCAGTGTGTGCGTCCAGGCTGGCCATCTTGAGCTGCTCCTGGAGAGTCTCTCCCAGTGGCCTCCCCTCCTGCTGGTCTTCTGAGTTCTCTATAGCCCTAAAAGGTAGGACTGAGGGGCAGCAGAACACCAAGATGGCCCCAAGAGCTGAGGTGAACTGGCTGAGGGCCCTGGGCTCCCTCTGGCATCCTTTGGCAGCAGGAAGGGAGGCACACACTGAGAACATGAGACTGAGCGAACATCCTCACTTGCTTGGAGGAGAGGTGGCTGACGCCGCAGCCTGGAAATGACTGTCCACCCACAGTTTTCACCAGCAGAGTCCAAGGACCTGCCTTTGGGCTCTTGTGGTGGTCGCAGGTCCTTCTCCCACACTCTAGCACAGAGCTCACAAGAGCTGGGGGAGACTAGCTAGCTGGAGGCCAGCAGAGGGGCTGGTCTCCACCTCAGAGCAGGCAAGTGGCAAGATTGGCAGACATGATTTATGGCATGTTTGGGCGCGGACGTTTTCAGAGACGCGGGGGTGGGGCACGGGTCAGGGCCTGGTGGACGTGTGCATGGCGTGCACCTGGAGGAGGTCAGGCCAGGCCTGGAAATCCTAGTCCTGGTTTGGTGCCCTGATGGCATGGCTGTAGCAGGGGTGCTGTTCACAGTTGGTTACTGGCTTTTTATCCCTTTTCTTTTTCTTCTTTGCGGTGCTGGGGATGGAACCCAGGGCCTCGCACAAGCTAGGTGAGCACTCCATTGCTGAGCCGCGTCCCCAGGCTGGTTATTAGCTCTTTGGACGTAGATTGTGTGAGGTTGGAAGGAGGCCTCTGACAGAAGAGCTGACGTGCACGTACTGGTGCTTCTGCAGCCTGGGAGAGCCCTTTGGCTTGTGGAAGGGGTTACCCATGCCCAAGACCCTGCTGAGCAGCCTTGTCCTGCTGGTCTAGAATGTATCCCGTTCCAATTCGTCACATTTTGATATAGTGGTATAAGGAGGCCATTCCCCAGGGGCTCCAGGAGGTCTCAGGGGCCCATTCATTGATGGTGGGCATCTGTGAGGCTCAGACTACCGCACCTTCATTCTGTGGAACCTGCAGAGATCCTTAGCCTGTACCCAGTGTCCATGCAGTTCTGTTGTTCACACTGCATCCTGGTTCCAGCAGGCAGAGGCCCAGCTGGGCACAGGGGAGATTTCGGCCAGGGGAAAGGGAAGGAAGTTTTGTAGTGGATTCCCGCCAGGGCTGTGCGGCAGGATTTGCAGGTGCAATGTGCCTCCTGCTCTGGGGCGGGGTTCTCCCAGGACCCGTTCTGACATGGCCTCCTTGCACCTCTGCTTCCTCATTGTGACAGAATTAGACCTCCCATGAGATGGCGATGCGACTGTGAGTGTGCAGATGGCATCCTGCATTCATTCTTTTGGTGCTGGGGATGGAACCCGGGGCCCCAAATATATGCTTGGCACATGTTGGCACCCTGAGCTGCTCCCCAGCTGGTGACTCTTGGTCTTGCTCCACACCTTCTGCCCGCACTCACCTGTTACCTGTCTCCTTCCTTCTCTGCTGAGCTGGGTGCTGAGCTGAGCGCTGAGCTGGGCCCTGGCTCACTGTACCCAGAGGAACAGTGCTTGCTGAGGAAGCGGGAGTGAGAGGCGCATCTGGCTCTGGGGTGGCATCCAGCCGCCTCCCTCAGGAAGGAAAATTTGCACAGAGCAGGGAGATTCATGCAGTGATTTTTTTTTTTTTTTTTTTTGAAATAAAGAAAGGTTTGTTTTGGCTCACGGTTCTGGAGGCTGGGAAAGCACTGGCATCTGTAGGATTTTTATCCTGGTGAAAGAGTGATTGAGAAAAGCACCCCCTGGTCTTCTCAGCTGAGGAGTCTGCCCTCCCTGAAGGGATATGGCTTGGCCCCTGGCTGGAGGAAGCCGGGACAGGCAGGTGCAGAGCCCTGCACCCCAACCCCACTAGCCCTCCTCTTGCAGCGCTCCTCCAGCGCCCTCTGCTGAGAAGGCCTGGAGCTTTGCCATGGGAAGGTGGCCTAGCTGAGGAGGGAATCCGCCTCCCACAGACAGCTTCTCTGGCTGTGCCCTGAGAGGCAAGAAGCTGCTGCACGAGTGGTCTCCTGCTCCCTGACCCCAGTGTGCATGGCCTAGCCCACTGGAGGTACAGCCCCTGGTACTGAGTCAGGCTGGATGACTTGCCAGGAGCAGTGCAGTTGGGCCTGTTGTGGGCAAAAGGAGCAGGAGCAGCCCCTGAGGTTGTGCAGCACAGCACCATCACCTCTGCTAAGGCCTCTGGGCACAGCGGGAAGCACAGCTGTGGAAGCAGGTCTGGCTGTCTGCGTAGCCAAAGGAAGCTGCCCAGAGATGGTGCTTGCCATAGGCTCAGAAGAAGGGTTAGGGTTCCTCAGACCAGGTCAGCCCAAGGAGACTCACCTGCTTCCTTCTGACTTGTTCAGGCCCTCTATCCCTCACTGCCTTGGTCCAGTTTTAGTGGAAAGAGCTTTGTCACCACAAGAACTCATGATGGAATTAATGTCCTGCATTTGCTTCAGATGACACTGTCTGTGCACCCCTGTTCCCCATGTCTTAAAAGTCTGTGAACATTGTTAGGTGTTCCCTGATGGGGGAGTTCCACACAAGCCCGCCACTCCATCAGCTGTGACCCTTGGTCTCCCTCCTTCCTGCCTGGGACACCAAGAGGGACACACCTGAGAAGAGAAGCCACCGTGTCAGAGAAGTCTGCAGCTGGCGGCTCTGTGGAAGAGGGAACATTGCTTGCTTGGCTTTCCTGGTTGAGCAGGGCACCAGCCCCTGGATATCTACAGCGTGTTGCCATGTATGGTCAGTGGTCGACGTGTTTCCAGGGGTGGCGGCCCCTTTAGCTTTTGCTGGGAAAGGACTGTTCTTGCACCATAGGAGGGGTGGCAAGGCTGTGCCAGCCAGGACACTGATCCGTGGCTTGCTCCCTAGGTGGAGAGCAGGGTGTGCAGGCCTCCGGCTCGCTGGCTGGGAGCACAGCCAGGGCGGGCTTCTCCACCTCACCATGTGGCTGTGGACAGCAGCCTCGGGCCCCAGTCCCGTTAGCATGGTACTGACAGGCTCCCAGCAGCACCCGGCCAGGTCGCCCCAGGACCCCTCCAGCTTCCCCAAGGCATTACAGGGAGGAGGAGTCTCCCACTGTCTTGAGACCTTGGTGGGTGAGGGTGAGTGGCCAGGTCTTGGTTGCACAGGGAGGATTCTGGAATTGGCCCAAGAACCACCTGTGGGCACTTGGGATGAGACATGTCCAGGTGCAGTGTTTTCCATGATTGAGATGCCATGTTCAGCTTCTGTCCTGCTGTTTCTTGGCCATTCTTCCCATCTAGACCTGGGCAGTTCCGTTTCTTCTTAAACCAAGGAGAGCATGAACACCAAACGAACCCTGGGGCCGGTAGTTGGGTCTACAGCATGACACAGTGAGTCAGGGGCCAGCAGACACCCAGCCTAGTGCTCTGCTGGGAGTTTTACAGCTTCTGGAGGGGAACCACATGGGGCTAGGCAGGCACTGGGCCAGGCTGCCTCATCCTGGTGCCCCACTGCGGGCTCTGGGCAACCTGCCCACCTTGAGTTGCCCTGTTAGCTGTGGGGGGAGCAGCTGCAGAGGTGCAGGGCATGTAGGTGGGATGGGTGGGCACAGTGCAGGCCTTGCTGCATGTCCACCTTGGGTCTGCTCACATCAACATGGCTTCTTGGCTTGTTGTGCTCTTGGTGCCAGTGTCACTTTTCAATTCTGGCCCGTCTGCTGCTGCAGCCTGTAGTCCTGTGCCTCATGTGAGTCTAGAGATGCAGGGTCAGGCAGCCAGGAGCCACCATGCTACGGGTGAAGGCAAAGGGGGAGAGGACCCAGCCCCCGCCCAGAGGGAGGAGCCAGGTTGAGGCTGGAGACTGGGTCACAGCGTATGGCGCTGGGGGTCTCAGCGCACGGTGCAGGGTACAGCACATGGATTCAGGGTCTTTTTTCTTTAAACAGTCATTGGCAGTGACAGAAGGAAGAAAAGAGGGGTCAGGAAATGGGATCTAGTGTGGGTGCCAGCTGTAGCCTGGCTGCCGAGGGCACGCCCTGTGGGTCTCTGTTGGTCTCTTCTGGAGTTTCAGCCCAGGCTTAGGGACAGGTTATGGTCTCTTTTGTAACCAGTGATGTGGTGCATAGGTTGTACACCTCTGGGGCTTTATGATAGGAGTGCTGCGCTTCATGACCCCAGATGTGGACTGGGGCCGGTGCTTGGTATGGCAGGTAATGCTTTTGAGGCCCAGGAAAAAGGAAGCGAGCTGTCTGTGACAGGGAACTGCACTGACCAGAGCATGCTTAGCTGATGTGCACAGGAATCTCCTGTTTCAAATCGTCACCATAGCAGTGCTCCTCTGGAGAGCAGAATAAAGAGTATTCTGCAATGGTGCGTTAGTCTCTCTAATGTTCCCATCTTGGCAGTAAAGTATACTGTGTGTCCTGCAGCGCTCTCTCTCTGGAAAAACCTGGAGCTCAGTGCTGCAGGTGCTCTCTGTGAGCTAAGGTGCACGCACCTATTCGCATCCAGGCCCATACCCTGAGGCTGTCCCTCAGGGGCTGAGCAGCAGGCCCCATCACTGTGACTCACTGGGCTATTGGGAGGGGCTGCGTCCACAGCCAAGCTCTCAGTCCCTTTTGGCAGGTTCTGAAAAGGAAGGAGAGTCATGCCCTTTCCTCTTCTAGGGCTGGCATTTTGGTTTGTGCTTCCTTATGCCCCTGGAAGTGCCATGTGCCACCTGAGGCCTCTGACTGGAGCTAGGACAAGTGCTAGTGCCCAGGCAGAATGGCAGACTGCAAGGCCTCCTGCTGTCCCAAGAGGCTCTGCAGCCCGAGGGACGTCACACCCTGGAACTACTGAGCATGAAAAGTACACCGGTGGATTATAAGAGAAGAATTAAAAACAGAAGCAAGAAATAAAAGACTATAAAACATTATGCAGATTTATGGTTGTAAGTATCATATGGAATGTTTTAAAGTGTCAAATGGAAATGAAAGTTATAAACACTAAAATTGAAAACCAGTGTTCAGACTGTGTAGCTAATTAGGTACAACATAATAAAGAATGAGCTAATTTGAAGTTGTAAGTAAAGAAATGTCGTAGACTGAGGTGTAGAATACAGACGGGATAGGAGGTATGGACGAAGTGGGAGAAGAGAAGCAGGGGAGAATGGGCTCAGGTTAGGCCAAAGCGGGAGGAAGCAGAATCTAAAGGCTGGCGGCTGAGACCTTTCCAGAGTTCCTGGGAAAGGAATCTGCATCTGCAGTGGGTAGTGAACGTAAAAGGAAGAAAGCAATCAGAGGCAAGCCTGTTGTCCTGCGTCCCGGAGACCCAGGAGCGAGAATAGCCAGGAGGAGACGCTGCACAGCTCTGGCCTCCGATCGCAGCCTGGCCACCCCAGCTCTCCTTGTTATCAGAGCACGCTGGGCCTCAGGAAGGTCTTATCCCTTTGGACACAATGGCAGGAAGTGGACTCCTGAAAATAGGCAACCTCAGAACAGACCACCCCTGCCACCCACTCGGAGGGAGGCCACACCCAGCAGTGCTGGGCAGTGGGAGGAGCCAGGGGTCCCAGGCACACGGGTGCAGGCTGAGGATGGTGTCCCGACTTACATCAGAGGCAGAGAAAGACCGCAGAAGCACAAGGTGCTGCCACATCCCTTGTATCTTGGAGGAGGTGGGTGGGCCGTCCAGCCGGGGCCATCCCTGGAGAAGTGCCACGCTAGCATCTGTCGGGGGAAAACAGGGAATGCCTGGGAATGGGGACCAGTTGCATAGGCTGGAGAGCCTGGCTTGTCCCCTGCCGTCTCCCTGGCCTCTGTGCTGGGCTCTACACCAAGTGCACCCAGCCTGTCAAGCACATCTTGAGGGGACGTGAGGGCCCGTGGACAGCCAGAGACACACAGTGACCACAAGTGCCCCCTCTGCTGCACTGTAGGCTGCCTGTCTTCCTGGACCTGCCAGTGTTCTACTTTGTAACTTGGAAAAGACCATTTAAAGTTCACTCGCTTCCATTTGGGTAATGGAATTTGTGGGTGTCCCCATCAGCATCTAGGAGTGGCTCCTCCTGTTCCCCGCCCCACTTCCTCACCCTTGGTCACGACCCAGCTGGGGCCAGGCTGTGAGGCTGCCTGTGGGAGGTGGGTGAGGGGGCTGTGGCCACTCTGGGTCTTCTGCTGTGGGCATCATCTCAGCCAGGCACTGAACCCAGGGACAGAAAGTGGATCCTTGTGGGTGCTGATTGCCATGGCTACTTGGAGAAAGCTGCCTATTGTGGAGACAGTGGCTCTCAGGTTATCAGACTGGGTTTTTTCCTGTTAGGACAAACCTTGTTGAAGGTTGGGCAGAGCTGTGTGGGGTGTTCCTGTCAGGGAGAGTCTTGTTCCTGAGGGGTGGGACAGGGCCCCCGAGAAGGGCGTCATGCTCCCCCAGCACCACAGGGGCAGCTCTTGTGGCTAAGCACAGGTGTAAACTCTGTCTGCCCTCACTGGGGCTCAGGAGAAGCCAAGGGACGGTGCTGCTCGTCAGTGGGCCACAGAGGGGGACAGCTGGTCTCCTTGTCCCTGGAGCCCAGACCCGACACAGTCACTGTGGCCCTGTCGCTTCCCGCCCACCTGCGTGGCCCACTGTCTGCAGGTCTGGAGCGAGTGTTGTGTGCTGTCCTTCTCTGTCCCTCAGAAGGAAGTGCAGGTGGGCCTGGAACCCAGCAGCCCCAGCCAGCCTCAGGCCAGCCACTGGTGCACTTCCCTGGACTCCTGGGCCATCTTAAAAGGACCATTTGCTGCACGGCTAAGGTGGCAGACTCACTCAATCCCAGGAGTGAAAGGCCAGCCTGGGCAGCACCCCGTCGTCCATTCACAACATGGAGGGCGGTCCCCTGGCCTGTGACCTGTGGAGTCACTGAATGTGATCGTCAGACATCGCCTGCAAGCGGGATCTTGCTGTATCGTGCTATACTGAGGCTCTCGTCGTGTCCTTATGGGGCGGGGTGTGGGGGTTCATGGCCCCCAGAGGCGTTGTCCCCCTGTACTAGGTACCTGGTATAGGGACAGGTCTTGGCTCCACAGAGGTTCTGGGCAGACCTATGGCTCCACGACATGTGGACCCCTCCTCCTGGAGACAGGAGAACTGGTGGGCACTCAGCCCCCACCTCATAGGGATGGCAGGTCCTGGAGCACCAGGAGATGCACCCAGTATTGCCTGGGCTGGTTCTGTCATTGTCAGGACATAGCCACAGGACATGTAAAGGCGTGTGTGTGGCCAGCTCAGTGGCAGGTCAGTGCAGGGACACAGAAGGTGCAAGGCAGGTGCACAGAGAGACCAAATGGAAACCTAATGCCCTGACTCAGTCACTGTGGCCCTGTTGCTTCCACGGGGACCTAGACATATGGGAGGGTGATCTGGCTGCGCCCCTGTCACCTCGTCGGTGACTGAAGTTGACTTGGCTATTCCAGCTGGTGTGGCAGGTGTCCCTGCCCTAGCCACTCCACATGCATCCCTCCTGAGGCTGCGTGCTGGGTTGAGAAGATGGCCTTCCCTCCCTGGTTGAGGGCACTGAGTAGCTGTGGCCCTGCCCCAGCCTGCGGAGGAGCTGTATATTCTGCAGGCCTGGTCCAGGCCCCCTTGGGAGGACCTTCCTTTCTCCAACCTGTGTGGCACGGCTGGCTCTAGAACTGCTGGGCATCTGGGGTTCAGGCAGCTGTGCTGAGCAGTTGGCACCCTCAGGCACATGCTGAAACACGCAGCCTGCATTCCCAGTGAGTCACAGATTGGGTTTTTAAAGAGGCAGCCTAACCTCTCTACAGGACACCTTGGTGGCAGAGCAGTGGGGCGGAGCAGAGCTGAGCAGGCAGCCCTCTGGAGACCAGCATCTTGCGGGACCCCAGACGTGCAGTCCACTCAGGCCACCTCCTCACTGCCACCCACTCCCTAGGGGCAGACTCTGGTCACCAAGGAAGCAGTTTAGTCCCGCAGAGGGGCTTCGTGGAAGTGAGGGATGGAGAGAAAGAGGGCATGCTCAGACCTGCATTTCCCACAGCGGTCCTCCCTGCTACTGCGGCTGCCCCCACCCCCACCCCCCACCATGGCCACAGAGATCCCTGAATCGTCTTGGCCCTGCACCGGGCTTCCAGAACAGCAGGGTGTTGAGCAGCCAGGGTCTTGCTCCTGGCCTCCATTACAGCAGGTGCTGGGCAAGGAGAGTGTGGGGTATTCACCGCAGTCATGGAGTCTGGGGTGTCTGCTCCCCACCCCACCTCTTAGGAGCAGCAGCACAGTCTCCGTGCTGGAGGCTGCAGGGTGTTGCGTCATGGGTCAGAGGCGCCCAGGACTTGCTTGTCAGGAGGAGGCAGAGGTGGAAGGAGAAAGCTGTTTCGCCGTATCTCGTTAGTGCTCTGTGTTGATACCTTCAGATGCCTCCAGCTCAGTCCATGTTGTGGTACTGCAAGGCTGGTACGCTCCTCGAAGCACCACGGCATGAAATGGAGGTTCCTAGAAGCAAGAAGAAAGGTACAGTACTGACAAGTTGGCCTTGATTTATTTATGTATTTTAAACTGTGTCTGCCATTTTACATCTGCACTGTTTGTTTGGAGGAGGGCTGGGAAAGAGGCGTTAAACTGCAGACACGTGTGCTGCCAGGTCAGCAGTGCCGACCGTCCGCTGCTCCCGCCCGCGGGTCGGAGGCGGCTGCGCTGAGCAGACACAGGTGCAGGCCAAGGTTCAGCAGACCCGGTGGGCTGGCAACAGGGCGTCAACTGTGTCTCTCACAGCTGCTGCTCTCAGGTGGGGCGGTGCCGGCGCTGCCAGCCACTGTGCCTTGTCCCTCGCAGGCCTCCCTACTGCTCTGTGAGTTGTTGGGCGGGACGCAGGGGCTCTGGAATGCCAGGCAAGGCCCTGGCTCTGAGGACTTGGCATGAAGTCTCCTCTCCTCTCCTCTCTCCCCCACCCATTGCACAGAGAAACAGGGTCCTGAGCGGAAGAGGATCAAGAAGGAGCCTGTCGCCCGCAAGTCTGGGCTGCTCTTCGGCATGGGGCTGTCTGGGATCCGAGCAGGCTACCCACTCTCTGAGCGCCAGCAGGTGGCTCTCCTCATGCAGATGACGGCGGAGGAGTCTGCCAACAGCCCAGGTGAGCCCTGGGGCCTTGGGCCTGGGAAGCACAGGGTCTGCTTGGTATGGGGCCCCGTGCAGAACCCCTTCACCTTGTGGAAGCGGCCAGGTTCTCCAGGCCTCCACCACTCGGCGCCTCCTCCAGTAACGCCCCACCTGTCCCCTTGGCCTGCAGTAGACACCACACCAAAGCACCCCTCCCAGTCTGCAGTGTGTCAGAAGGGAACGCCCAGCTCTGCCTCAAAAACCAAAGACAAAGTCAACAAGAGGAATGAGCGGGGCGAGACCCGCCTGCACCGTGCTGCCATCAGGGGGGATGCCCGGCGCATCAAGGAGCTCATCAGCGAGGGCGCTGATGTCAATGTCAAGGACTTCGCAGGTAGGTGCTCATGCCCTGCCCATAGGCAGAAGCAGAGGCCGCCAGGCCCTTGTGTGTATGTGGACAAGGCTAGTCCTGAGAGGGAGGATTCTCTGGGGAAGGACTTCAAAATACAATCTTTGTTTTTTTATTTCTAAGAGAACTGGGGGTTTTTTAAGTATCTCCCTGCTGCTGTGTCTGCCAGGCACAGCTCCAGGCTCCTGGGGGGTCTTGCCCACTGTTTTTAGATGCAGCGTGCACACCTCAGCAGAGGGCGCCTCTATACTGTGACTGGGCACTCGGGTCTCGGCCTGCCCCACTTGCCCTATTAGGGACACTGGGAGGCACTTTTAAGTGAAACAGAGCAGAGGCGCCTCTCCAGACCTGGCACGGGCTCGTGGTGAGAGTCTTGCGCTGCCTGCTACCTAGCTGCCCTGTGGGGGGCCTGGCTCCACAGCCTCCCTGCGGGT